CAGAAACGGAACGAGTTGGTTGCCACTTGTTTTATAACAAATGAGCAGGGGATATCCTTCGCAGTGGCGCAACTGCAGGTGCAATAAATAATAATAATAGTGCGTTTTTTGTTAAATTTTATTTAACCTGTGTTTTGAAATAATTTCTAATAAGTTGCTTTGAACTTGAATATCATTTGGAAGCCAGTTTTACGCTCTATCTAAATATGACGACAGTTTAGCTCAGAAATACGTTGTTACATTTGTACAGAACATTTACTGCAACACGGACAGAAGACAAACTCGCACAATGTGCTTATACCAATTAAAAATTGAGCGAATTGCAGCGGAAACAGCCCAGTATATCAACACTGTACTTGGTACTGTAACCATTAATAGCTGTATTGCACATTGGTGGTTTCGGAAGTTCGCAAAGGTTACCATAGGCTTGAAGATGATCGTTTTGAATGGCTATTGGAAGCGAAGAACAATCAGTTTTGGACCTTAGTTAAAGCAGACTCGCGTAAAACTATTCGAGTTATTTCTGCTGGATCAACAGGATCGCATATGACAGCTCTAAAACGTTTAGGTGCAATTGGAATATCGAAATGCTCGATAAGTGGGTGCCACCCGAATTGAACGAAGATCAAGGAAATCGTTGTTTTGCGGTGTCGTCTGCCATTCTTCTGTGCAATAAAAATGACCCATTTCTCGACAGAATTGAGACTTCTTATGAAGAATGAATTCTTTCTGGCAACCGACGACGATGGTTGGACCACGATCAAGCTCGAGAACATTTCCCAAAAGCCGAAATTGCACCCAAATAAGATCATGGTGGTTGTTTGGTGGTCTATGGCTATCCTGATCCATCACAGCTTTCTGAATCCACGGGAAATCATTAGAGCGGAGACGTATTTTCAACAAATTTTCAAAATGCACCGAAAAGATCTACACAGGTGTCAATGCTTCTCCATGATAACGCCGGGTCACAAATTAAACAAACAACCCAGATGAAGCCGCACAAGCTGGTCTACCAAACCAGACTTCACCCACCATACTCCCCTGACCTCTAGCTTACAGATTAACACATTTGTCAAGCATCTTGATAACTTCCTACTAGCGAAATGTTTTAAAATCCAAAGAGATGCTGAAATCGCCATCTACGATTCCATTGCCACCAGAACTGTGGAATGTTATTCATCCTGAATAACTAAACTTTTATCCCGTTAGCATAAGTGTATCAATTCAAACAATACTTATTTACCTCTGATCCAAGATATGCTCATTTAAAGTATAAGATTAGAAAGCGCCATCACTTTATTACCAAGCTAGTGAAAGTGACTACGGTATTTGTTTGTAAGATATAGGCTGCTTGAAGTTAGCCCTATTGGTAATGGGCTTGTTTCCAAGCAGCCAGTGTGACGAATTTCTTCGGATCAATGGCAGGAAAAAGCACGTCAGCGTGGTGTCTTGTCATCCGACTGACAATTGACTACTTGAACCGGTGAATCATCAGTTGAATGAGTCTATATAAGTTCTTTGGCTGTCAGTGGAATATTCGGAGTATGGTTTGGTATCAGTTTTGGATACATACAGAACCACATCGCAGACAACAACTGTCAAAACTCTTTCAGTATTGATGCTGGTTACTGTAATTCTAAGTGGGTTGAATACAGCCTGTTAATCCATAGAGACTATTGGCCCTACTGCACATGCAAGGTAAGTTACTTGTCACGCTAAATTCGTGTGACTTAGTAAAGGTCTTCTCTCAGGGACCGTGGTACTTGTGGAACTGCTCCCCTGCTGTCCTTCCTAACTTTGTGCAATCTGAGTGTACATCAGGAACATACAGACTGAATTCTAGAACGCGGGACATTTGCATACAGCAAATGCTTATAGAAAATCTCCTCGAGCGAATACATCTACGGAGAAAGCTGCGCGTACACCTGTAAGCCCACGAGTGTCAACCCGAATGCGTCACCGTGTCGACCGGCATGTTTTGATGGGCAACGCAAGTGTTGCCTGTTCCATGTGTAAACACTTACCTGTCTTGTGCATACAACGGCTTAAATGTTAATATAAAGTGATCATATGATTCTCGATATCTTGGAATGAATCTGGAACCGAGCGGGAAGTCATCATTTCTGAAGGCTTGGTAGACGACTGGTTAGTGTATTTGTTACGCTGTACAACTTTTCGCTTTTGACTCAAGCTTCTTCAGGCAAACTGAATAAGCTTAAAACAGAGTGTAATTTTCTAACGACCGTGGGTAAGGCATATAGAGATAAACAAACTTGCAGTTCATTGGTGGAAGGTTACAGCGGTCAAATATCACTAGGTTGTGTGCACTCCGTGATTTGGTTAAGCCAAGGTCAAGTGGGGATTAAAAATTGCTGGCCAGAGCGCAGCTACATGTATGATCGGCAATCTTAAGTGGTCCGTTGGAAGGAACATGGCCACTAATAGAACTTGTTCTTGGTACTTAGGAATTTAGTGGAGGGAGCATTAATAGTCCATTACGACTACGGATCCATTCACCGATGCTTCTCAAACTGGCCGGAGTAAGACTGGAAGCCAGGTACCGGACAGTCCTACTCCGTCTATTCTATTCACGCAGTTGTTAGTCTTCCTTTTTCCTATAGCCCAAGCAATTAGCCTTTGTTGGGCTGCTTGCAAACCCTTCCTGATGACCCCAAAATTTTCGAAGTCCATTTCGTGCCTTGTGTCTAGCGCATGCTTTACCATCGCCGATACTCTGAGCTGAGCTCCATACGCGAGCTCCTTTCTCGGAGATCGTGAAATGTGCGGCCTATGTTCTGACATTCGTGTACATATTCCCCTCGTCGTTTGGCCTATATACGCCTGTGTACAACCTTCACATGGAATTTTGTAAATGCAACTAGTTGTTATAAGGGAAGAGAATCCTTCAGATGCACAAGCTTCGATCGTAGTTTTTAAATTTGGTTAAAACGGCTTTTGCAGGCGTGCCTCGTGTAGCCGAGAATAAAAAATTATTTTTTGATTTAAATAGAGGAGGGACAGCGTGGTGTTGCCAAATCACGTTCTACAATTGAAGCTATGACAACGTCAGTGATTCGTCCTGATAGTTACACACATTTAATGGTCATTGGACGAATGCATGTGCTTGCTTCTGACTGGCTAAGTTGTCCTGGGTGACTGGCTTAACTTGCAACCGCTGTTACTTGTCTACAGTTTCCATACATTCGTTTAATTAATTGATTTAATGTTTTGTTTTCAGGGACACAACTTTTCAGGTCTGGTTCCATGCCGATAGTCTCAAGAAGGTACCAATGTATGAAGTTAAGAAACAGCTCCATAGCCATCGTTAGAAGATAGTTTCCAGCCCATCTGGGTGTATACTTCAACTCTACACTAATCGTACGCCAGAAAATCAAGGACAGGAGAACTCGGTCACAGAGTTTCATTTGTGTTTACGATTTCTGTTTCGATTGTCAGCTGAAGTATCTTGGGAAAATAACAAAGCGACTGTTCGTAAGAACTCGAGAGCATAGCCCAGCTTGATTATACAGTGGTGTGAGGAAGATTGTGACGAGCGCTGGGTCGTAGCACCCAGTGGACTTTAATTACCAAACCAATGCACCGGATGCGTTCCAGTCCATCCACTGAATACACGGCCGCAACAAACGAGAGGTCAGATGTCGCTTGCGGTCTAGAATAGATGCGATCTCGATTCGGCTCCGAAACTCGGAACTATGTGCAAAAAGGTAATTTGTCCAAGCCCCCAGCCTTCCTCAGCCACACGTTAAAACGACTGGCAATGAAGAGCAAGCCACTTCCTCTGACATCATATTTGCCAGAACAGTTAACTGATTTTCCAGTTTAAACACTGCGTTTAACTCAGTTGTCTGATCTAGTCTCCTTAATTGTGTTTATGCTAGACTGATGAAGGGCCACTGAGAACGAAATAGTTTGTATGCTCTTAGTTCGTGAAGTATTTGGTACATTGGTAGTCAGTTAAATGGTTACATCATCTGACCTCTACTGTTGCTTCACATGAGATACCCTGCTAGCCCAAGTTAACCTAGCCGAACTAACATACTTGATTGAAGTAGGAATAACCGAAGCAAGTAGTGTGTGGACATGGTCTATCAAATGATCCAACAATAAAACATAAACAACTTGGCACCGAGTTCCTGGAAGCGAATAGGTCAACGTACGAAGCTACAAACAATGGAGATTCCACTTATCTGGAAATCTTACCATAAGTATGCGCTCTCTACCATTAACTTGGCAATTCCTCTGTACACAACTTAAAGAATTTAATTCGTACTTCGTGTGCAGAACAGCTGGAATTGCATTCGACGATGATTAATAACTGTTCGTTAAGATCTATATTTTTTACGTGGACAAGCCGTTGCGACCAAATAGGATTTTACACAATAGGTAAGACGTCCAGTTTTTTATCGGTACAAGGCTTTTTCACTAATTAGTTCCAACCAGCTGTATCACAGCCTGCATTGCACAAGTGCACGCTAGGCTTTGCTTGACGGCGCTTGCCACTTTTGATGGTCGTACAGTATTTGTGTTGTGAGTGTGCGTTTACGCAATGCGATTTACTTCTTATTAGCTACGTTTCCCGCCACTGAATGTTAACTGTTGCACAACGCTACTACTCTGCTGTATGCTGCAATTTACAGTGTTTAAAAAATACCGTGACCCTTGGGAATAGTGATGTTTGCTTAGCTTTCAGTTTGTTGCGAACTATTTATAACCATGCAATCAAGAATGGTACAATGTGAAACACTGGAAGTACGCAAGTAAGGTCCATATAGATAACTTTTTAGTTGTTAGAGTAAAGACTGTATTAGTATATACTTGTATAAGTGAGGTGTTACTTAAATCGTACGCGCTTCTGCTCCACTCGAGGAACACACAGAGGGAGTCGTGAAAGACAACTGCCAATCGCAAGACATGTGAACAGATCAGCACCACTCGAGCTGGCGGTATTCGAGAGTAAAAACTGACGGTTGCGTTTGGATTCAAGGAACGCTGATGGATTCATCTTCTGGCTGACTGGTAGTGCTGCGTGCCGGAGATCGGTGAATAGTGCATTTACGAATCCTGGTCAGGTTCAAACTGGCATCACGAACGCATCCGATCGAAGTCATCGGTATCTGCAGCAGTGTTTTTGATGGTGTGGGTTGGGACTTGTTTATGTTAGTTTCATCAAGACTAGTCACAGCCGTTTGTGTAGAGGATAGATGAACCGGACGAATTATAAGGCCATAGGAATTGTCTAAACGCTGTGTTTGTTTCGGCTGGATTTGCGAAATGTTCCTGGCATTGCCTTGGACATCATGTGTTCCAGCAGCGTGTGGGTGCTACACCGTGTTTAGTAACAAATGTTAAAAGTAATGTGAAGTTTAATAAGAAGAACAGTAAGACTTTTATCAAACATTAACATGAAAAGCGGCAAGGGATAAATATAAGCAAATCATCTGTGAGGAGTCTCAGCTACAAATTACTAAGCTGCTAAGTGATATTAGTGCTATTTGATCTAATTTTTCTTGAACTGCCAAGAAAAATGAACGTTAAGGATTAAAAAACCTTTGGTTATGTTTCTTCAGTTCAACGTGTACACCTCTGATAGCTTCTACTCATTTAGCTCGGGAATTTTACAGCGAGGCATTGTAAGACGGCGACATAAAAATAACTTAGTTATGAAGAGAGCGTACGATTTGCCATCTTTAACAGGTGAAGCTAATGCAACGGTTGACCTACTCCTAATTTCAAGTAATTCCATGGTAACAGAAGAGTAGTAGGGGGAGTTGAATGGTATAGGTAGAAGTTCGTCCCATCTAGACTCACTCAGACAGCCGCCACACGCCCGGAAAAGCACTGTACGCGCGTTTCATCCTTACGGGAATCACCGGCAGTGCGCATTCCATCGGACCCTTGGTAGGGCTCGAACCCGCAACTCGACTGTTGCCAGTCCGTGGGTGAGACCACTGAGCTACGGGGGACGGCAACGACCATCGTAAATAAGTTACTAGATGTGATATAGAGCCGCTCACTATCCACTGACTTGCACGTTACTGCCGTGCAGAGGACAGGGTAGTCCCCTCACCATGGTAGCCAGACACATTTAAACAACCGACATAACCGGAAGTGTGTTAGACCATTGTTCCCTCAAATGTGTTCACCTTAACAGTACGTCTATCCCTGTTTACTATCTTACCACAAACATACCATGTAATTCATAAATTGGCTGCGAAATTCAAAAGACCATCGCAAACTGCCCATTTATGTAGCTGTGATGTGACGCGTCTCAATCTTCTTGACTTGGTGGTGTGAGGTAGATAGAAATGACCATTAATGTCTACGATTCCTCTAACTAAGTTCTAAGTTGTTATATGATTGATCCGCGCAAGATGGAGTAGTGGGTTTGATTCTTATACGGTAGGAGGGAAAGTTGAATTGTTGTGGGGCTCCAGTAACACGAGGTATCATCCAGGACTTTACTGTATTTGCAGTGGCTAGGTGGATAGGTCTGTGTAGCTTAGGAAACCTAAAATTTACTTTTTCTTGATATGCGTGTACATATACGTGTATAAGTATAGTAGTGCATGCATGTTGCTCTCTACGAAAGAGCTTCACGGCATCCATTATACAAACTTTGTTGAGATCCTCTCTTCTAGTGTGCTGTTTCCTGTTTTCGCCGGTTCGAAGAGCCTGGTGGTACGAAGCTTCAAGACCAGTTTCAGTTAAATGAAAAATACACCTGATGTGTTTGGGCGTGAACTTTTTAGCGCAACTTCTTTCCGTTTGAAGAGTGCAATATCTTTTCTTGCTAACTGTGAATGACTTTGTTCGAAGTGGTCTTTCAATTTGCTGGGTTTCATACTGTCTGCCGTGAGCACTTTGCTGCACAAAACACAATGCGGTTTTAATGTTTTCGTCCCCGGAGCTCACAAGCAACATTGCGGATTCTCAACACATTTGTCAACAAAATTGGTGAAGCCACATTGCAGAAAAGCTTCTTTGTAAGACCGCATTTTTCCAGTATACATGGTTCTTGTAAGAAATTAGGCATCTAGGTGTACTATATATATATATATATATATATATATATAATGTGCGGGAGCGGCAAGCACCGATGGGTTGTACTCCATCGAAATCGAGCGCAAAGTGCTTTAGCACATGCGGTCGCGAGTGCCTGATTCAGGCAGCCCTAGTGAGCCATGAGCGAGGCCACTCGGAACCACTACCGAAGCGACGACGGGTCCTGCAGAGAACGTAGGCAGAACCAGTGCAGCGTTTGTAGGTACGCTGCATTCAATGTTCTAACCGCATGCTTACATGCTAAGTCTCTTTATTTCAGGTGATGGGTTTTCAATTTTTTCCGAATGCTTTTCTTTCTTATATAAATGTCTACTAGTACTCTCTTCCATAAATTTTGCACATATCGCTTAAGCCAATCATATTTGATTTCGATATCATTTTTGTGTTTTTGGCATTTTCCGTAAAATGCACTTTCTGATCTCGTGTACTTATCTCGGATTCGTTTGTAGACAACTTATTTCATACGCCCATTCATTTAAGATTTATGTCACTGTTTCCTTATGCATTACTCGATTTTTTTTGTTAGCTTTCTCTCAAGTGATTGGCTGTTGCTTGATATCCTCGGTGTGGCTCCGCTTGATGTGCATGTTGACATGGTGCCTACCTGTCTATTTGCCACTACCTCGTCCATACTGGCTCCAGGAGACAGTTGGTTGTTGCTGGAGGGGACGGGGTGCACGGTCCTTGTGGTCGTGCAAGACTCGAAGAGTGGTACCACGCACTCAGTGTGGAGCGGACTACGGTCCAGCCACCGCCTTGTGTGCGCTTGATTCCCAAATACAGCGTGCTTGTGTATGCCTGTGAAGGAGTGTGGGCCGGCTCTGTTGATGAAACGTGGCTCCCATCCACATTTCTCCCGGTCATATTCCTTCGGGTTTACACTGGATATGGGTTATGTGGTTGGAGCTGTGGGTGGTGCAGCACAAGCCACCTATGGTCGCCCTTTAGGCGCAGGGGTCCTGTGGCTGGCCACAGTGACAGGAAAATCCGAAACCGGATGCCGCCAACCATAAGGATGGAGGACACGCACTTTTGATCAAACGTCTGGATCAAACTTAAGGGATACTGGAATTCTATTATTACAGTCAATAATCACTAGAATGTAGCTACCATGCCTTAATCCCATTCGACTGGTTGCATAACAAGATCGGATTTAGGGCAAACATTTTTCTTATTTTTAGACTACACCCAATGTAGGTGGATATGCAGTCTTTCTCTTTTAATTACTAAGCTAAGAGGTACTGCACATCAAAATCTCACCAAAGTGAGTACTTATTCTATTCGAGTTTTACATTATCGCAAACGATGTCCTTTTCAATCCGCAGGTTATCACTGTTTTCTAACTCACTTAGTAAAGCTTCTTTAAAAATGGACACTGCATCAAACCATCTGTTACCCCCCATGTTACTGTATTTGTATAAAGCGTTTCACTTACGCGCGGGTCAGGGGAGGCAAAGACATTGGCGTAGTTCGTATGGAATGCACCCAACTTCATCCTTGGGTTGAATGAAGCTCGCAAAGGAAAAGCAAAAGAAGAAGCTTGCTGTATTTGTGTAGGCTTCTTCTCTGACCTACTGACTTCTGCAATTTGTAGCTGGTCTCGCCGTTCCTCCACCGGTACGTTCGCATGATGCTGTTCATAAGAAGCATGTAACGCGTGAGAGGGATTTAAGGTATCTGGAAATGGTAAAGTGTATGCATTATTTTTCAGGTTGTCTATGGACAGAGACATCAATCTAGCATACCTACAAATCCTAAGGGCATCTAAAATCTTATAAATTACTTCTTTGCTTGGAATACGAAATTATTTGATCCACTAACTATTTCAGATGCATAGCAAGCAAGAAAACATAGTGCTTACTCCGTTCTAAGAACTCTTGAGCTTAAAATTAATTAAGAACCGTTGTACAGACGGGTTGCTGTGCACGAATTAATTGTAAAAAGCGGGCATCTTCAGCATCAGTCGATTTGGTTGGGTTTGTATATGAAGAAATAAGAATAATTTGGTGGTTGAGTTTTACCTCGAAACAACTAGGTTGGTTATCTTTTCCTTAGTGCAGCTGAATTAAGACATGTAAGAAACATAACACGTTTATACTTGAGCCAAGCATCAGTTAGGTTTCTTCACTCCCTCACAGCGCATGGTACTCAGCCGAGTAAGAAAATCCGGTTTGTAGTTACAATGCAATAGATTCATCTAGCCACATCCTGTTGGTTTGTTTCCATGAGTTACAGCATCCCGTTAAGCGGCAATCTAGAATATAACATGCAGGTGACCTTCACATGGCGCATCACCGCCGTTGCTTCTGAGCAACGTGTGCTGCAAAGCAGTTGGTGTTACTTTCTAGTTCGTTGTATGTTACGCAAAGCAGTGTGCGCTATCCTAATCCGAATTCTTCTTACGAATGATCTATAAAGCATCTTCCTTCTGAAGGTGAGGAGTGAATATGCTCCGGTTTTATCCTCTACTGCACCAACGTGATTAGTGTCCTGTCGGAGTGAACAATGAAATGGAACTCTGTCATAAAAGTTGCTAGTTCCAAAACGCAAATCCTGGGCCACGTTCTTAAAACAGTTCCATACGGTCTTTTTTGTACCACACCAATGAACAACAATGAACAACGAACAATGCTTTATCACGAGTAAATAGCGTGTGCTTGACAAGTCCCGTAGGATGGATGGAGTAAAAATTAAAATCTGAAGGATCCTCGAATAAGTAAATGGTTATTTCAAGCGTCCGCCGAGTTAACTGCACTACTACATAACGAAAGTTTTAAATGGGAATGGGATGTGCAAAAGCAAAATAACATGGTGAGCTGTTATGGTTCAGTAAGTGCGTGGGAAATAAAATAGGAAACGACAACGCTCACTCGTTTGTTTCTTCATTTGACAGATGTGATAGGTTAATCCAGTTTAGCTACATCCAGGCTAATCACATGGACAGTAGTACATGTATCCTCACCGCCACGTTGCGGAGGGGACCGTTAGGCACTTGGTTAGGTTTGTGTTGTTTCGTCCTCCAAGTGGAACGGACTATATCAAGTAATGCAAGTTTGCAAGTGTTTCATCAAGGCGTTTTTTGAAAAGAGTTAATGTAGGGGCAAGGGTAACGTGAGTGGGAAGGACATTCCACGCAGGGGACACACGGAGGGAGAAAACATTGTGTCAACAATTAATTCGACTGTACAGCTTAGCCAGTTTGAGCTGATGGCCTCTCAGTTTTGTATTTTGGTTCAGCTGAAACAAAGTGCAACACGGGTGTGTTGGATTAGGTCTCCTCGTTGAACTCGATATTCACCACTGTACAATCTCAGGGACTGCAGACTGTTGATAGGAGTGATGAAAGAATCCTCTAACAAGTTTGGTCGCTCTAAGTTACGCAGATTCAAGTGCATCGACGTTGCGCTTGCGCCAGGGACGCAAGGCATGGATCGCATATTCCATGTGAGGCCTCACGTAGGCGTTCAGCATTTGCGGAAAGGTTGATGGTTCAAAAATGCCGAAAGCCCTCCGATAGAGTCCAAGATGTTGACTGGCTCTTTTTGATGCCTTCTCAGCCTGTATCAAACAACCAAGGTCGTCCTGCACGATCACCCCGAGGTCGTTTTCTTGGGAAGAATGTTGTAACTGCTCGTTCCCAAGTCGTTTTTCATAGATAAGCTGATGGCGTATGCTTACGACTTTGCACTTGGTCACGTTGAAGTGGAGCCAGTTGTCAGATAACCACGTGTAAACCCTGTCGAGATCGCTCTGCAGTGCCATGTGATAATCCGATGTCCTGACATCATGCCACATTTTGTTATCATCTGCAAATAGTAAGAAATTCGACTGCAGTACACTGTCAAGATAGTTAATAAATGCGAGGAATAAACGTGGCTCCAGTACCGATCCTTGAGACACGCCACACTGGACGTCAATTGGGTCGGCAATGAAGCCGCGGACTCTCACATTCAGTTGAGGTTGAGCGAGGAACTACCCGATTCAACCGACTATAAGGTCACCGATTTCATAGCTTCGAAGCATTTGCAGGAGAATGCAGTGGTCCAAACGATCGAACGCTTTCGAGAAGTCCAGGTAGACAACGTCGACTCCCACTCTGGCATCGGCTGACTCTGTCCAGCTTGTTCTGGCTAGCAGCAAGTTTGTAGTGCAGGATCGATTTCGGCGAAATCCGTGTTGCTATGACACTAGGATGTTGTTGCTCGCAAGATAGCCTATGAGCGCCTCTGCAATTATACCTTCCATTACTTTGGATAAAACTGGGAGGAGAGTGATTGGACGGTAGTTCGAAGGCTCCGAACGATTACCACTTTTGTAAATAGGAATGACTAATCCATATTTCCACATTGTCAGAACCCGCATTCGTCGAGACAAGGTTGAAAGAACCGAGCTAATGGTTCAGCAAGGTTCATGGCCGCTGTCTTCAATACCCTCGGTTTGATATCATCCACGCCAGCTGAGTTGTGCACGCGCAATGACATTAGCATTTGTATCAGATTGGCTGTCGTAAAAGAAAAATGGTTTAACGCTGGTGGCGATGGAATCTGTGGAAAAAGCAGATGAAATGATGATTCATTTCGGAAAGTATGATGAAGTGTTGGCGAAGCACGTTGGCCGCATCTTGTGCGGTTTGCACAAGACCATCTGTTGCACGTAAAACCGGGATCCCGCGCTGCACTCTGCGGAGCTTGTTGACGTGTCTATGCAGCAACTTGGGATTTGTACTGAATTTTGACACTAAGTTCTCTTGGCGCTGGAGTTTGTCTTTGCCGATCAGCTTGACGCAGTGGTTTCGTTGAGTCGTGCCAGCACCCCAGGTCAGGTTACTTGGACAGGCTTTGTAAGCGCGCCAGGCTGAATCCTTTAAGACCATGAATTTTCTAGTGCGGCTCCTCAGAAACGAATTCCCTCGCTTCCGGCGAAGGACCTTGCTTTATGACGCATTTGCCACTAGCTCAGTGAACTGGGTGACGAACAACATCCAGGCGACATTGCGTGGCTTCTCGGCCATGAATGACCAGGCCGTTTCTTGAAGGAAGTTGGAAAGTTTATCGTAATGTGCCACGACATAGGTTTTCAGGCCGTTCTCACTGATGTACTCCGAGTAATAGATGTAACGAAAGAGTGACCTTGCGTGATCGCTACTGCCAAGTGGTGCATCTGTGATCACGGTGCCGACCATTAGTTCCTCGCTAGAGAGCACAAGGTCCAAAACAGAGGATGGGTCACCCGTTCGGAATCGCGTGGGAGAGGTGAAATGGTTGTACAGAGGTACATCGGGGATTATCTCTTACAAATCCGCCTTGAATTGTATGCAGTGCGATGCTGGAAATTCGATTGCGTGCAGGTTGAATTCCCCCACCAGAAGGACGTGAATGTGTGGTCGTGACAGAACTCGTTTCATCACAGAAGCTAGGCATTTATTCATTTCCAAGGTGGACGTTGGTGGGCAGTAAACTATTGCTAGTAAACACACATCACCACTTCTTAGGTGCATACGACACCAAAGAGAATAAACGACTTGCGTTTCTGGGTCCTCAATGACATCAATATGCAGGTCGGATCGATAATACAGGAGCACTCCCCCTCCACTGCTAAGTTGATTGTTTCGTATGAAACTCAGGCCGGGTAGTGCAAGCTCAGCATCCGTGATCTCCGTGTTCAGTCATGTTTCGGTGATCATAATTAGGTCCCAAGGCGTGGAGACCTGCCGCATACAAAGTTCGGTTAGCTTGCTGAAAAGACCTTGTGCATCGGTATGCAAGCAGGTGAGGGCATCGTTGGTCAGAAGCGTGTTTGTGAATGCTGGTTTCCGGTGAGGGTCTATGCCGACCCTTGCAGAGTCGGCTGCCGGTCGTTTCGTGTATAACCGTTTGTATACGTAGCACATTTTCGCTACACTAAAGTTCTAGCCATATCCACTACCATTTGTCTGCACACAGACTATCGCGAATTCTAAAAACTTACGGCCCACAACGACTGCTCCATCGTAAACATGCAGGACTTCACTGTGTGTCTCACGAGAAAGACCATCTTTAACAAAACCAATCTTGTTCGCGATTATCCTCAGGTAACTATCGAAGAAACAGACTTTTGTAAACAACCGTCATCACTCTATCCGCTTTTGGAGCTCTTAGGAAGACCCTTATGATTGTTAACTGCGGCACAAAATTTCGGGTTTACATCCGCAATGCCACTGGTGGCATAGACCTTGCTAATCCCTAAATTCATGGCATATTAGTAGCCAGTTAGTCCAAAGAAGAGCACCTGTCTCATCCTCAGTCTTTCTCCCAGTGGTTGTCTCGACAAGTCATTACAGTTAACCCGACAAAGTCCAAACTAGGCCAGTCAAGATTAGAATTTCTAGTCCAACTTGTCTAGCCGTTTTGTATCGAGTTCCTTGTAGACAAGATCCAGGCTATTATAGAATTCCATCCCCAACTTCATTCAACCACCTTCGTTGATTTTTTAATTTGATCAGCTACTATCCACGTTTCATCGCTCTCGGCGCTCAGCTAATGCAGTCGCTAACTGATCTACTCAAATCAAACGAGCCTAAGTTGGTTTTCCCGTGCAATACATGCGCACTTCCTCTAATTCAGAAGTGATATCTGCAACGCACCCGGAACCTTCTACTCCTCTTTAGATTAATATGTGTGCGTTAGATATTGCTGTAGGAACTGGTCTCCAAAAGAACGTTGGTGGGGAGTGGTAACCCTTTGATTTTCGTTACAAAAGTCCCCGCCAACAGATTCTCGCTACAGCAGCGCTGGCCAGGAAGTACTCGCCAGCTACGTATGTATTCGTCAGTTCTGACACGCATTGGTAGGCTGTGTTTTCACAATCTGCACTGACTTTATGTCCCACATTTTCCTCTTAATTTCAGCTTTTGACAAAAAGCCACAGCAAACTAGGCGCCCGCACTTTGGCACTCAGTTCATGGTTGAAATACATCATATCTCATGTATCACCAACACCTTCACTGACGTTCCCGCATCAGCCTCACTATTCACACTTTGCCTACTGTTGGCCTCGGTGCGATGGCGCAGGCTCAGGTCCAAGCTGCAGATCTCCAATGCACCCTCCAGTCAACTTCAGTGTATATGCACACAGTTCCTCTTTAAACCAAGGATGGAACTACCCGCTGTGACTTTTCCATAGGTTGTTTGGACTCCTTTCGCCTACCTCCTACTGACGCAGTCTTCGATACCCTCCACTCACGGTATCCTGCTGGTGTTCATGCCTCTTTGATATAGGTCACCGAACGTTTCGGTTGGCCAAACGCAAGCGTAGAGGCTTGTAGCCGAGATCGTGCTCCTCTGAACTGCCAGCGCTCCGAGGTACATCCACACACACCTGTAGTCTTCTCAGCTTATTCCCTACCCGGATTCTCGGTTTGCGCAAGCACAAGTAGACGTGACAGGAGTCTTGCCTCTTTCTCGTGCATTTGTATACTTACTGACATGTGTCGACTAATTCACTAGATTGTCAGAAACGGCGCAAGTACAAGATCACACGGGATAAACCGTCATTCGTGCCGTCCTCGGTTGTTGGGTATTTTTCTACGAATGTCCGTCCACCATCACAACCGAACGTGGAACGAGTTTTATATCTTCACTATTATGTGAGCAATGTCTTACCCTACTCATCCAGTCTAACCTCCTTCGTCCCACTTGACATTTCCGTTGAGGGCTGCTCTCGATCAACTCTTTAGGGTGAGACCCCTGTAGTGAACTCGAAACCTTCACTCATTAAATAGTTTGCAACATTGATCTTTATTAGTTCTTGCGCCTTATATCTATCTAGTTGTTCGATCTATTGTGAATCCCAATCATTTGCATTTCCCCGTGATGCGTGCGCTAAGCTGCTCTTTGTACTCCATTCCGGGAAACTCTTCGCTATATACGCTGGGTCCAGCCACTTTTGTTGTTTTGCTTATTTGCGTACTTGGTACACATCTTAACTGTCATCGCAGGCAACTACTATCTGAGTTGCACCCACAATAGTAAAGTTGTATCAAGAGAGCTCGACAGTGCTGTAGGCCAGATGAATACAAATGTCATCAGCCACCGTAAGCAGAGAGAGGGAACTTGTTAACTCAGTTAGACGAATGTTAACTTGGTGTGTTGGCGCATGCTTTACTGCCAACTGGAAATATTTTCGACGTAGTACTAATGTCGTGAGACATAGACACAATAGAATCTAGACAGCTCAACTAAAGTCCCTGGTTGGTCGCCCACAAGCAGGACGGTTAGCACTTAGCAATACTGATCAGCTAAGCTGAACGGCCAAAACTGTATACATTGTAGATTCTGAAAAGTGCTAAAGACCGAAATAGATGTAGTGAAAGAGAGTTTGTTTTCATGTAGCCAGCTGTTCAACTATCAAGCGCGTTACTTTACTATACTACTACCATACTGCCAACGGCACAACGTGGCAATTTCGGAGCACTTACGTGACCCCACACAAATTCTCATCGGATGCCTTGTTCCCGACCTTCAATGCTGCAACACTTTTAGCTAGGTAGCTTTACACAATGAGTTACGGGTAGCAACGTTGTCAGGTGACAAAGTATTTTGTGTCACCCCACCACAGATGCTGTTACGATGTCGACGAATGCGTGATCCTCCCAGTGAAACTGCTATCTATATTGTAATTAGGGCAGCTTTCGTTCTATAGGCTTAGCAAGTTATACATACCAACTTAGGTAGGCCTTGTGTTGTCATTTTCTAGAGCTTGTACAAACACTTCGACTCAAGGTCAGACCTTTTCGTTTCCAGGATAACCGGTAATCGCAGGTAGTCTCCGGCAGACAGCCACCACACATCCAGGAAAGTGCTAAACGGTCGTTTCATTCTATTGGGACTCGATAGCAGTGCACACCTGCCGGAACCTGCCGGGTTTGAACCCATGACCTTGACCCATGAGCCAGCGACTCATGCCACTGGGCTATGAGTGACGGCTGCAGACTTCCAAGATGGCCATCAAGTTGTGATATAGCGCAGCCCAATCTCCACCGTAATGTAGGTTTAAACATGTAGAGGACAATACTGGCCCCCAGAACTACGACTTCTTTTGCAAGTAGCTACCAATTGAGGTGACGTGATACTCCACCGCTCAGTGTCCAGTGTGGTTCCAGTGTTCTTGTCAGGGAATGCCTATACATAGCCACTACTGTAGATCAATTCCCTTAGTATTGCGCGCCTCATTTCGCCTGTATCTTCGGCACATCTTTCCAGCTCCCTTCCTAATAGACACCGGACTAAGTACTGTTCCCATCGGACCGGAACAAAGATGTCAACGTGAGTGTACCGAGTCATTCCTGCCGTTTTCTTTTGGATCCTTCTGTGCTGTAATCGGTGTGCGTTCTGAACATTCCTGAAAGTCGAGCTTTCCTTTACCTCACTTTACATGCTAAAATGATTTTCAACGTAGGTCTGACTGATTTTCTGCAATAAATAAAACTGGTCCGTGGAACTCTCAGCGATGCCCATCCATAGACACAGCGCTTGACCAGTAGTAACCGTTCAATCAGTTCACTCAGTTTAGCATTCGCTAACTTTGTCGTGAACAAACCAGTGAATAAGAAAATCGGTGGTGACATCGTTGGCAATCCGCCATTTTGTCGGCACTTCTGTTCAAAAATACCGAAATGAACTTTATACATAAAATGACCAAGGAGCAGTGGGAACCGCAAGTTCCGTAGGAAAAATATCGGTGAGTAACTACGTCATATTGTGTGTTTTAATGCTGTGGACGAATGTGAACCTGCCCAAAGTAATATTTTCTAACGGAATTTGTTTGCCAGTTTGTCGCTGTGCTTATCTCCCTGTTCTTCCTAACTCATCGCTTGCTTTTATTCTCAACTATCATATCGTCACCTAGTGGGAGAGCAACTTTACTGTGTTCAAGAGTCTTTGGTATACTGGCTTGTGTGAGTGATCAATAGAACTAAGGGAAGCACTTAACAAGCATTTCGAATAACAAGTAACTGTGCAAGAAAGCATGTTTCTTTTATTGCGAGACAAGGTGAGAAATTTCAGAATGCACAACTTTATTTGTAGGGATTGTTTTTCGCCCCAATGCCAAGTCAGGAAGGTGTTCATTGAAACCGAGTGCATAGCAGAGCTTACCTTGTGTCACGACTGGTAGTAATGCGTGTTCGCTGATCTCTTCTATATTGCTGAAATATGGGTGCTTCAAAAGTTCTGAACACGTCCAACGTTCTTCTGGATTCATACGTAGGCAGCACTGTGAGAAGTATGGTTAAGTAGAGACGATAATATATTAACCAGGAGCTCTACTTTTCGTTAGACTATAGAAATTCCAGAATGCATGTCTGAGTCTAATACTAGAAGCCCAGATCATACAAGTTGTACGAAACAAGTTTACCCTATAATCATGAGTGTACCATTTTCAATCAACCAGCGGAAAATCTGAGTGGCACTCACCAGCATAAAGTCCGTTTCTGTTGGACCGAACAAGCCACGCGGATCTTTCTCAAAACGTTTATCCAAACTCACCTGCAATAGACACGGAAGGCTGGTTAATAAAACGAAAGCTTTATGTGTAAAAAAAACAGAAGAGGAACCCAATCCAATCCATCGGTGTCCATGCTAATCCTAGGATCTTAAAAAACCTCGCGTCACCCAAACTTGTTGCACTACGGTGAACCCCGGTTACTTCAGGTAACACTAAACTAGGCGGACGAGACTGAGGCCGTTCTGCTGTCTGCGCATCGTTTCCGCAACGACTCAAGTGAAGTGCGCATACTACCTGAAATCCCCTGGAAAGAATGTTTAGCGGAGCCCGTTAACAGAGAGAGGTACAGAAAAAGTCAAGATAAGCAAACGGTGATTGCTCACGGTGTTCCTGAGCTTACTTATTCCTCTTCCGACGATGCCAAGGTACACGACCGCGAGCACTGGCACTACATCCGGAAGGCTCTTTCTCTCGAAAATGTTGTGGCCACTTCTTTGACAAGGATCCCCATATCACCAAACTGTAAGGGGTGCGGTTCCAGGCTGTTAAAACTTTGTTGCAATCAGAACTAACGGCACCAACCCTACTAAAGAACTGGACTAAATTCCGTTGCAGATTGTCAATAAAAATTCATCTGAAGGCAGGGGAATACCAGCGCCTTCTAATGACAATTCAGTGGAGGCACAACTCTCAATGAAAACGCCAACTGCAGGACCCGACTCGGGGACGGTTTCAACAGTAGCCATAATATCCGGAGGGACACAGTAGAGCATGAGCAAACACTGGGATCCGGGGCATCTGATACTTGCCTATATACCAAATTCGTCTCGAGAGTCTGCAACCCATCCAAAAAAAAACAATTAGTCGCCGACCCTTTATTGGTCGAGGTAAACGCACTTGATTTATCCATCAAATCTAACACACATTTGGTCTCCGAGAAGCTCTCATGCATATTTGAAAATGCCCAAGGTCTACGCAGCAAATTAGCTAAATTATGACTTCGACACGCGTCAGCAGCTTGGGACCTCATCGCTGTCACCGAAACATGGTTGCGCTGCGAGATAACGGATGTTGAAATCGAGCTAACGGGAATGTCCGTTGTCCGGAAGGATCGAGCCAGCAAAGGTGGTGGGGTAGCCCTTTATTTTCGTAACAACATGCAAGGCGCGCCCATAAACGATTCGGAAACCGACGTACCTGATTCCATTTGGTGTAGTTTCCGGCTAAGAGGGAACGATCTTGGCCTATTGGTTGTTGTTTACCGCCCACTATCGTCTACTCCTGAGATGGACTGCAACTTGGTAGGTGCGTTGAGGCAAGTGATAAACAGATAGTACAGTCACATTCTAGTCACCGGCTACGTCAGCTTACATGCTCTAGAATCCCAGGCCTCATCAGGAGAGTAATTCAAAGCAGACCTGTGAGATCTGGTATCAGACTTCCCGCTTTATGGCCACGTCACTACGCCAGCCAGATTCAGGGGAACGAACAGGTCATCCATATTGGACCGAATATTCACTAATGAAGAACTGATGGTTGAGAGAGTGATAACCGATACTCCTCTGGACCGCAGCGATTATGCAACGCTAGTGTTTCATTACATGTGCTACGAGGATTATCCTAAAGAGCATGCCGATGAATATCATGTCGTAACCAACTATGGCGACCTGTCCGACCTCATTGCTGCAACAAGCTGGTCGTTCTTAACTGAAGTAACCCCTGAGGTGGCCTGCGGAGAATTCTTCAACGTATTTAACAAGCTCGTGGCAAGGACATCTGAAACCAAACACTACCGTCCTAAACGGATGAAGTCTTTCGTAAGGAGCAGAACACGTAAATGCATGGCATTAAGGGACTTGGCATGGCACACCTACACAGCCTCCCCGAACGACGATAACTGGGATGTCTACACAATACAAAGAAACCACTGTGTCAAACTCGTCCGGGGGGATAAACTTAGGAGCCAACAAAGTCTAGTGGAAAAGTTTTGCTCCAATCCCAAATTGCTATCCGGACACGTGAACAACTTGCACCGTGTTAAGCGCGGTATTCTTGCTCTGCACACAGCATGCGCGTTAGCCCAAACCACGCAAGAGGCGGTCAACGTTCTTGGACAACCATTTGGCCGTACCTTCCAAAGCGTGCAATCATCATACGTCCTGCCTAAGCAGATAATGCCGCCATCAGTGCTTAAGCATATATCGTTTTCCTGGCAGCTGTACTGATGAGGCTGATGTCTCTGCGCGAGTTCAGCTCCCCGGGTGCGGACGGCATTCGCCCGAAGGCGTTGAAAGTTGCTGTCATGAGTTTGGCGGCATCACTAGCAATATTCTTTCAACGACGTCTGAACAAGATGCACGTCCTCACGATGTGGAAGCACAGGATCATCACGCCAATCTATACAAGTGGCAGCCGTGCCGAACCAACAAATTATCACCCGATAACACTACTTCCTGTGATCTCCAAGATTATGGAGTCCATTGTAGCTGAGGCTTTGATGAGGTGCCTGAAAAACAACAAAATGCTCGTTCCGGAGCAGCACGGATTTCGCCAAAATCGGTCCTGTACCACAAATCTGTTGAATGCTTGTGCAGGTTGGACGGAATCTGTGGACGTTGGTACGGGAGTCGACGCGGCCTACTAGGATTTCACAAAGGCATTCGACCGTATAGACCATCGCATTCTACTCCACAAACTCCAGAAATATGGAATTAGCGATCCCGTTCTGGGCTGGATAGGAGACTTTCTCCTGCAACATAACCTGAATGTGAGGGTTCGAAGCAACCTATCGGAATTCACCGAAGTTCTGTTCGGCGTACCTCAGAGCTCAGTACTTGGACCCCACCTGTTCCTGGTTTTCATAAATGATTTTGCGAGCGTGCTATCTCCTAACTGTTTGATATTTGCTGCTGATCTAAAGGTATGGCGTACTATAGCTGCAGCGGGGATCACACAGCGTTACAAGAGGACATGGACAAAGCGTACACATGGTCCATCCAGAACATGCTGCATTTCAACGTCAACAAGTGCAAAATTCTCACCATACGGCACAAGAGTATGCAAAGCTACCGCCTAGGACCACAAATTCTACAGCGGGCTTCTCACGAGTGCGATCTCGGCGTGCCAGTTCAAGATGACCTCGGTTGTTTGAGGCAGACTGAAAAGTCATCTAAAAAAGCAAACCAGTACCTCGGCCTTCTTCGCACAGTTTTGGGAAGTTGGACCCTTCAGTCTTTCCAAAAATGCATAGTACGTACGTGAGACCGCACGCGGAATATGCTATTCAAGCCTGTCAACCCTGGTTCAAGAACCATCTCACCGCACTCGATAGTGCACAACGTAGGGCAACGAACAGCGTCACAGGTTTGACCAGCCTCCCCTATCCACACAGGCTGAAGACCCTCAAAATATACAGTGGACGTTATCGGCGTCTAAGTGGCGATCTCATAATGGTATACCAGATCCTGAGAAACCCCAACCACCCATGCCATTCCCTTCTGATACTCAGTCAAAACACCCCGCTAAGAGGTCATCAGTTTAAGCTGGTCACACAGTACAGCCGACTGGAATGTCGGCGAAACGTTTTCTCGCTTCGAGTGTCACAGCCTTGGAACGCCTCCACGGAACATGTAATTAATGCTCCCACCCTATCGCTTCTCAAAAAACACCTTGAGGATAGTCTATCACATTTGCACTACGCGTTATAGCCCATGACCACCAGATGCTGGCACTAATGCACAACAGACAGTGGACAATGCCATAACCCTACTCGAGAATGAGTCACTCCGAATCCCTTGCACACAATTTGATAAACGCTACTACTGTATAAATTGGATTTCTGTATCCCCGAGATAGCTACACACGAGTAAGCGTTGTTCTTGCTATTTGTTCTGTTTTTCGCGCTTATTACGTGATCTATACACACTCCACTTATTGCTCTGTGTGTGCACATTTTAATTTCAAACTCGCTTATACGGCAGTGTAGTATAATCTGTAATCGCCCGAACCGACGATTCCATTATCCCTTGATCTATCTTTTCTCACACTAACCACCCCAAGGGACATGTCAGGCACCTGCTTTTTTTACCCATCATAAATCATTGTTCAATGTTCATGGGTGTGAATGTGGGACGGTATGTAGGAGACGGTATGTACAGAAGTCAATCTCTGCCATTCCAATCACTATTACAGTATTCGAAGTGTTTCGGGGCGGCTCTCTTCCGATACCGTTATTCACGACCGGTCGGGTGTCGCAATCCAGACAGATGGCGAGTACTCTAACTATGAGCTAGCTGCAACTCTTTATAAATAGTGGCTTCTAAATGCATAGGTTTGTGAACGGTAATGCTCAACTACATATATTACTATCAGAGCAGAATATAACTTTGTAGGGGGGTTAATGAACAGTTGCCACAGGTAGCTACTCATTCCGCCTGCACAGGTAGCTGGACAAATAGTCAACATAACGTGACTGATAAACATTACTAAAGCTTCCTACGAAAGATACCATTACTTGCGTAAATCTGAGCACGTTTAGAACTAGGCGCGCCTTTCTTTGGTTTTAAGATTCTCACCTGCTGGATGCACTGAGGCCTAAGCACCTGTGTGCCTACATAGATAGAGTATGTGTTGACTAGTTTGATTCCATAGATCGTCACAACGGCTAAATGAGCTGTGTTGGCTGCAGCAGGTGCAACCTAGGTATTCTCACCGGGAATCGAAGAGAACCTTGATTTATCAGAAGGAAGGGATAGATCAGGGATCGAGGAAACACCAGTTTACTCAATGTTGAGCAATGAAGCAGATAAGCACTAGCTCGAATATAACTGGCTTTAATCACATTCCGCGTTGAAGGTAACGGTCTTCACTTTTTGTTTGTTGGATATCTTTAGAATGTTTGTTATTAGTTGCTAACCAAACAAGATGCTTGAAGTGTGCATAAATTAAGGTTTTCCTTGAGATAGTATAAATTAAGACTGGAAGCAGCTAAAGCCGCTGGGATGCCGTCTCACTGAAACCGCCCTATATTCATACTAAAACC